CCGTGCATTGTCGGCATTGAGGCAACCTTTTATATGTAAATTTTACACGCCAATAATCATAACTGATACATTGATGGAAAGGTAACATAATATATTCTATTAACTTATATATGAATGAAAGAAATTAGTCGTTGTAAACTTACATTTACGATGACCACTACCATACGAAATTTCTGTAGGGATATCATTTAAACTCTCACCATATTGAAGAAAATCGGTGGTTTGCATTTATAAATCTAGAGGGATTCCGTAAAGTATATTGAAAAGTAAAGTAGTTGGGAGAAATAAATGAAATATAAAGTTTGCAACATTTAATTGGTTTAACACATGTGCAGGTTAGTCGATGTTACATGTCTTTCTGTCGATGTTTCATTCATAAATGTCTGAATGCAGAACCAGTAAAATTCACTAAATGTTTTGTAAAGGATATTTGTACCTGTATTTCTGAAGTATTATCATTGTCAAGATATCCATCTGATATATGGAAACAACTTCACAAATATTTATACATAATTGCATAATGTATACTATATATAGCATTAGTAACAAAACAGAACTAACTGGCACCATCTTCCCAGAAAGGTGTCAACATTGATCTATATAAATATCTGTGAATCGTCTAAGTGAATTTGCCTCAGGGTACTACTACTTCTGGGAATCTCAGAAGAACAGAACATGAGCAAAAATGAACACAGACATTCAAGAGATTATTGGTTTTGCTAAAATGATGAAAAATAGGGTAATTATCAAAAAAAAGGACGGTCGTGGAACCAGAAACAGATTTGTTTTGCTGTTTTTCCTACGCGCCCTCTCATAGAGTCCACTTACGCATACCAATGATGATAATGGCGTATTTCTGTCATTTGATGGCGCAGTTTATGTATCATGCATTCACATAGGTCAACAGGTAAACAGATCACAGGATGGAGATATGGCATTGTGTCTAATCTCATCGTCGGTTTACTGTGCAAGAACTGTAATAACGTAGACATATGTATGTAACACAAAGACACATTCTACAATGAGTTTACTTATAAATACAGTATCATCTGAATAATTTAACTGCAGCAAACACGTGTCCCACAGTCTAAAATGTAAAAATAAACCTAAAGAGACCTATGGATAAGTTACAAATAATTTAGGAGGTGTAGTATTTTCTCCGTAGTGATGATAATAGATAGAAATGTCTGGTAGAGGCAATTTGTTTTTGGTCGGACAAAATAATCTCGATGGTCACGACTGAAGCTTTGTAAACGTTAAACGTGTGTCATTTTAATATTTTAAAATCTTAATATATCATGCTAATTCAACTTTGATGTTTATCATTATGCAAACTAAAGTGTAAACGGTGAGATTACCGAATGAAATGTATAACAAATATCGTCAAATACTGAAGTGAAAAGATTGAACACTGCTACATGAATGCTACATATGATCAAGCTATATGTACAGAAATTAAAGCCTCGTTTTTCTTTATCAGTTATATATATAAACACCTTTTATATAATATATCAACATTATATATACTATATCAATAACGATTACTTGTTGACCAGGATTAAAGCGCAGGAGGGGTCATTCTGTGGGAGGAAGCGCAGTACCAAGGGAAAACCCGCGTGGTCGGGTAGCTGACCCCATACCGTTCACGTACGTTCCGGGAATCGAACCACTGATGCTTAGGTGAAAAAACGTTACCATTGCACCATCCGACCACCTCGTTACTGATGGAAACTACATTCTGTACGGTAGAATAATACCAGGAATCAAGCCTTTAAGCTTTAGATGGAAGCTCTCACCAATCCACCTGGTTACTAATTATTTAAACCTGAAATCATCTCTTGAATAATAATGCGAAAAAGACATCTAAAAGTGTTCATTTTCACGTGTCAGTTACCTGAGTACATACAAGTAAGTAGCGATACATACAATGTATATCCCCTTTTCCCTCTATCTAACGTTGATATTATAATCCTACATATGTGTGTTTTACACACATCTCTAATCAGGCACTTTATATGAAGACCTGAGATGTAACAATACTATCAATAGTCAAAGAAAAGTGTCAGTACAGGTACGTATTTACAACACAATACCTTCTTTTCAGTGTGCATATCTAATGCTTAAAATATATACCTCTTACAAAGGGTTATATAGATACTTCTGTTGAGCTCATAGACTTTTGTAGACAATCCATCGAATTTCCCTATAAATCGACACTAGTCATAAACCATGACAGAATATTGACTTTATTTGGTCTGAAGCATCCTAGAAGAAATGGGAATCAATTTTGTATAGACGGTTTGATAATCACGAGGACAGAGAGACAAAGCCCAATAAGGGACACTGAGAGAGGTAAAGATTCTCTGACTTTGCACAAATAGTACCTGGCGTATAGAGATATTCAAGGTCAGTGAAAAGGCAGGTATCCATCGGCTATGTTGGCAACGAAAGTAGTCCCTTAAGAAATGATTGGGCAGCTAACTTGGAATCTTGAATAGGTTGTAGGATGCTAGAATGGTAGACATGAGATTGCTGTCCTTCTGAGAGGATAGTATTGAGATATCAATACTGAGATATAGAATAGAAGTATCATGGCTGTTGCAATACCATGGCCACGGTAAATCCTCTAATCTTTGATCCTGAGATGTGATGCTGAATTCATCCTGTGATAGTAGTCCAGAGATGGTCTTCTTTAGGTGTTGTAGAAGTCTTTTGAGATGTTTACCTACAAACCAGATTCGACAAAGGAAGAGGACCCATATCAAATGACCCTTTATATTTTTTCTTTTTGTTTCATCGGAGTTGATATGAATGATTGAGAATGAGAACAGACATATGAATTATATTGCCGATCACTATATCTTTATAATAAAACTGAAAACAAACACGTATTTATGCAAATACTTATGCCATTTGTTTAACTGATTAAAAGCTTTGAAGATCGCGTTTTAATACAATTTGTACGTTGAGGCTCTTCAACAGTGACAGAACCATGGGTATATCGATATATTTTTATTTCTAAATACTGTTATACTACATTTGTATATACATCTGACATATTTGTATCTTAATTACGACGTAACCACTTAACCTACATACAGAGACATGGAATACCAGGTATTAATTTCTTCTTGATTTTAATGATATTGCGGTTAATTTGGGAAATTGATTAATTATACCTGTGCACTACTAATATGATTTATCAGACGTTTATTTCAACACAAAAATATTCATTACATGATGCAATATGGAAATTAATCAGGTTTTACACAATCATCCAAGTGTACGCTTTTAATGAGTCTTTATTATGAGGTAATCTTATGAACAAAAATACAACTCATAACCTGACCACACATGCTGTGTAATGTTGACTAAAACATTATCTATCTATATTAATAAACGTCTGTTTCCATGGCAACAAGTAAAGATAACCACGATTAGAAATGACAGACTTAAACTGTAATTAAGATATTAGTAAAAGTTAAAACTAATTATAAAACCATTGATCAGATGTCCTTCTTGAAGGTGCTACGATAATACACTGGCTCAAGGAGGAGAATAGTATACTTTATACGTGTCACTGATGTTATTACATATGATCGACTGTAAATTTAGAGGTGTTGATAGATACCTGTATTAGTAGTATATGTAAATACTCCATCAAACATTTCTATTGGGTATTCATAATAAACGATAAAACAGTATTCCTACAGATGTGTCAGATTACGATGTTAATTTACCCCAAAACCAACAGAAATTCTATCTGTATGGCGTGTTACTTTGGATATCTATACAATTTAGAGGATGGAAATTATATTAATTGAAATTAAGAATTTTATCGGTCCAACAGTATATGAAAACGATAATTTGGCTTTTGCAAGAAAAATATGTAGTGTCGTGTAAAACATACCGAGCTCGATATTGCGTAACCCAGGATGTGTAGACCCTTTTTAAATTACTTGTCAGGTTAAAGATTTTAGGGGTCATTATATAATGAGACCTTTACAGAAAACGGGACAAATTCCAATGTCACTTCTTAGGTAACCATGTTACTATTCCAATTAGAGTCAAATAATGAATTGCGCTGCATCATACAGTGGTTTCGTCAGTGATGTGAAGATTCCAAATTTTGAAGCCTAAGAGGCGACTGACAAGAATAAAATAGAACAGATTAAAAAAAAAGTCTAAATCTAGACATGGAAGTCCTTAATAATTGGATAAATTTCGCAATTTTCATATATCAGACAATTCTAGAACAGCGTCACGTACATATGTACATTCTGAACCGTGCTACCATTCAAATGAACTAAAACGTGAAGTGCAGGGTAGATTATATGACGCTGCGAATGTTAATTTATATGCTCAGACACCTCTTTCTGTGCCACTGTTAGTGAGCATGAATATTAACGTAGATTTGTCATTTAATTTAAATATTAACAAAAGTTAACTCTTAATATAAAGCGACCGATCAGATGTCTTTCTTCATTTCGTTACGAATGCACACTATGGAAGGAAGTGTAGTCTAGTCTTCGTGTGTCATTGACGTAACTTTTTCAGAGACACCGATAAAAGTACTCTCATACATTCTACTAAATTTAGGAGGAATCGATGAGAAAGAAAAGACAATTATAGTAGCATATTCTTCTAATAAATCTGAAACCTCTGACCAGTAACTGAAGAACAAGGTGGGATATATTGTAACTGTGGTTGACGAAGCCAGGCGTTAAAACCAGGTCAGTATAACTAGTAGCTTATATACATGATAATGTTGCGTTTCTTATCTTCTATTACTGCAATTGATACATCATGCGTTCACATCGGTCAAACAGATGACCACGCTGACGGTACAGATGACATCCTTTAGTTAATTGCAAATCAGATCACTACGATACAGTGACCAGAAGATCTTCTTCTTTTGTACACAGTAATTTTGTTTGTTTACAGTAATTTGTTTTTTTTTTCTGTATTACAGTTGATATTTCAAAAATTCTTGTCACAGTATGTCTGTTGAACTTAATGATTATACCATCGTCGATGTTGATCAAAAGGAAAAGGAATCTAATCCAGACAATAAGGGCACGGTGAGTAGTAATACCATGCCGAGGGTCATACTGATTCCCTCTTCCTGATATATTAAATCTCAAAAAAAAAAAAAAAAAATTATAAAATGTTAAAGACGCCAATATACAGATGGATGTGATAGGGAAGTATTCCTGGATGTTTACTGTCATAGTAAACAAACAACTGTGCTGAGCATTCTCTTTCTACTAATAATCTGTACGGTTACCAATTTGAAGTCGTTTCACCCAGAGTTAACTGCGAAATGAAGAGCGAAGAGAAAACATACAACGGCTACTAAATTAACAGGCAACATTTCTGAAAATGTATTTGATTTTACTCTTTACTGCTTAAAAATGTGTTAACATGAATATAACTATATTAGGATATTCAATAATGTCTGCACATTTTTTCTTATGGAAGGCCTGCACCCAGAATGGAGTTACGATCATAATTAAAAAATCCGAGCCTGGAAACGCTGATGACGTCATGAAGTTTGATGAAGATCCGCTGGAAGAGCGCTGCACTTTATTAGTTGATAAAATACAGAAGAAAGTCCAGGAAACTATGAGATTACATTGGATCCAAATAAAACGATGTGCAACCGCCGTATCTATTTGCCTGTATTTCGCCTACTTTACTTATTGTATGTACTTCCGGTTTGGTGACGAGGGATCCGTTCGGCTGCTAGTATGTACATTGTTTGGAGTTCTAATTGCGTTGGCTATGGCGATAGTAGGAATGACGAAGACACAGTGGATTATAGTATGGGAGGGGAACATACAGCCATTTGTCGACTCTAAGACAGGCAAACGTACTGTTACCATCACATCGCTGTAAGTAATGCATGAACTAATGACTGAATTTATGTATTTTAAATTTTAGCAAGTGTTAAATTTCGCGAAAGGTAAGTGACCGTCTTTGTCTCTAATACATTACGTCGCTGAAACCATACTAAAAAAGATAGTTTGTAAGCACAACAATAGTAAAAATATTTTTCGAAAGATTTGAATTCGCGAATGAAGGCGAAATGTAATACTCCGCGAAAATTGGTGATTACAAGATATTGAACTTAAGGCTACTAAATAGTGCAACGCGATAATTTTCTAAACAAATACCCCTACATGAATATCAAGGTTAAATGTTTATAAAGAGGATAATTAGCATCTTAACATACAATGTCAAGTCATTCCGATGGTCTGAACAGATACAAATTATATTAGTTGGTAACTTCTTTTTATCGAAAAGCATTATTTGCACAGAAAGTAACACACAATATTACCACAAACGCCTTATCATATGGGTGTAGCTGGTATAGCGTTTTCTTGTTGATACATATGGTCCTTGGTTTCGCACGTTGTTGTAATTTGCGCTATGTCATGATAAATTGTCACCCTGTTTTTTCCAGATTGCTGAAAGTAATCGTGTTTTTCGTCATCGTTGTTTTCATCATCGTTGACGTAGTCGTTGATCATCCTGAAAATCTCATCGCTGTTTCCGGTCAGGCCATCTATGTCATCATCTTCTATATATTCTCTATAAGTCCAGGCAAGGTGAGAAATATCCAAATCATTCAACTTTTTATTCTTGGAGTATTCTGCATAATGTGAATGTAGTTTATAGTGAGAATTTGAGCAAATGCGATGGTAATGACAACTAATCATATCTAAAAAAATCGTAATCACATCAATCGATATATAGGTTTATTTATATATTATATATATATATATTTGTATGTGTGTGTGTCAACACAAAATTGGCAGTGCAAACAAACATCGTCTCTGAAGACAGCATCTATAGTTGAATACCAAATCCGAACAAAAACTGGAAGAGTACCTTGTGTAGTGACCCATACCCTTATCGAAATCCATCATTGCCAGTGAACTTCTAGAAACACTGGCAAATCCTACTTTTGTCCTGTAAACTTCAGAACATTTTCCCGCAACCCTCAATACTAGCATATCGCTGACCGAGACAAAGACAAAAGTCAAGACCAACAATCACCGATGTTCCATCAAACAGAAACGCCCGGACTTGTATGTAGCAAGACATTTTCAACATGCCAAGCCACACATGGCATGACACGTAGGCTGTATCCATTGACCACTGCAGATGTTGGTGTGAACAGCAACGCCTAAGTCAGGAAAGACACTGGATCAACCGACTCCAAACCTACTACCCACAAGGCATGAATGAGAGGTGATTTTGCTTTTTCAAACGCGTCCGGTAATACATACTACGCAATCGGTAGTCATTTAGTTCTAAAGTCTCTGCTGTCGTTCCCATTTAAAATTGGCGTTCCAGAAGTTGAAAATCTAATCGTCTGGGGCGTTTATTTCATGTGAAAGAGTTTACGAATCTGGGGCCTATTAGACCGTATTCCAAGATATAATATTCGATGCTTTGTGCATGAAACGGGCGATTTTTATTACAAATACTTTTAATTGTAACTTTACATTCATTCGTTTTTTTCAATGATTTTTCTTGATTTTTAAACAATTCCTTTTTTAAAGTGGGCCGAGGTATAACGGTAAACTCCTTTCCTCTGCGAACATATATACACTCAGTAGCTACAGTGCACAGCGTACCGAGATTTATATACAACGTGTTATATTTGTATCACCATCTTTTAAACCATAAATTAAGTTTTTTTATCCCTTATAAAGGGCCGTAGGCGTCATCTGCCGAAGGGATTATCGAGACCTAATTTTGCAGCACCGCTCTCGATTTTAGTGTATAACTTTGTATTTGTTTTATGTTCTATGTATGTGATGTAATTGATGTAATGTTTGTGTCTAGATAAAGGGGCAGATTACACCGCAAAGTTAACAATTCATCTGTCCGTACTGTCGTTATTACTTCATTGATCATATACTTATACTAATGTATACAGCGTTTTTATCAAAACTAAAGGTAAAACGGTGTATCATATAATTAATTTGTCTCAAATATTTCATCAGTTATTTTTATGATACTTTCCTCCATCTTCGGAATGAGAATTAACTTATTTACTTAGATACGTATACAAGAAACATAGCATCTCTGCTTATTAGCGTTTTTATATAAAAACAGGTGAAGTGGCACACCGTATTCTGGGGATTTGCCCTACAATACATCTTCGCACTCATCATCCTTCGTCAAGAATGGGGCTTCGATACCTTATGGTACTTAGGGGACCGCGTGAGGGAGTTCCTTCAACATTCAGACGCAGGCGCAATCTTCATGTTCTCCGAGCCGTTAGTCAACAAGCATACTATCGCCTTCACGGTATTTAATGATCTTTTCATTAGTCTTTAACCAAACCCAAACGTGGTTTATCAATTAAAACGTTTTTGAATATCAAATGAATCCATGAACCTGTTCAGCAAAATTATGGCATGACTAATGAGGACCGTAGCGTCAAAGCCTTTGTGTTTATTACTGAGGGTAATACCATGTAAAATCCACAAAAAAAAGATTGACGAAAATTCCAGATCAGACAAAAACGAAAGAAATCTAATTTAATTTAATTTGTTACTATCAATTGATGACGAAAATTAGCATAATGTACTGTATAGTATTAAAGTCAGTGGAGTAGTACCTTAATCTAATACGTTGTAGTTTAATTGCACTAACGGTCTGTGCAATTAGGTGTTACAATATAACCTTACATATGGCACCAAGCAAACTCTGTGGTTATATTACATCCATTTTAAATTCTGTCTCGATTCTAAAGCTATGCACGATATTACATGATTGAACCACTTCTTGTGTTCCCATATGTAGATCTTCTCCATTGTGGTGCAACGGCGGCTGGCAAGGTCATTACAAATTGTTACCATCCCCATGTCATTTAGTGTAATCTTAACTACATGGCGTTTCATTAATTTTGAAGGCCTTTCTGCTTTCTTCTGTTCTCCTTTGTACATAGTACAATATTGTAATATACGACCGCGATATCATTTATGTTATATATAAAAACATGCACTTTCATTAAAAATAAATCCTTATCATTATTTCACCATTTCTTAATTAGAGTTAATCTAAATATACGGAAACCAGATATGCGTCACTGAGAAGTTGTTTAATATACGCGCTTAAGAACGTCTCGAATCATGACCTAAAGTACATTTTGTTTAAGCAATACATGAACGCATACAAGCGTTTGCACTAAGATGATTTTTTTCCTTACACTGCAGGTGTTTCCTGTTGTCATCTTCTTCAGCACTGTCATTTACATCCTCTACTACCTGGGAGTTATGCAGATTATCGTACGAGTACTTGGTCACGCCATTGCTTTAAGCATGGGAACAACTTCAGCGGAATCTTTCAACGCCGCAGCAAACATATTCGTCGGCATGGTAATGATATAAAAATCACTAATTCTTTTCCTGGGTCATAACATCTGTTGGGTCTACTGCAGAAGAGAAATGATATCAGGAGACAGAGCCGTATAACAAAATAAATAACAAAAAACGTGTATTTATAACGATGTTTCTTATATTGGTTGGTCAAATGGCGCAGTGGTAACTCACTCATCTTTTACCTAGACGTCCGGGACTCGATTCCCCGAACAGAACGTAAGTAGGTACACGTGTGGGGACACCTGCCCGACCACGTGGGTTTTCCCTTGGTGCCAAGGTTTCCGCACAAAGAAAGACCTTGCACACTTCCATCTAGGGCTAGAAGAGTGATTTATATTTAAAATAGTGTCTTTTTCGCATTTATTGTAAATATTTAATTATATATATACATGTATCTATATTCATTAAATTATAATGTTTGCATCGAAGTTGTATGTAAACAATTTCTCACAGACTTCATAACTTATTTTTTGTACGGAATTATCATTCTGTACAATTCAGATGTCTTGGTGCACGCATACTGACAGATTATTCATGTTTGTGTCGTCGTGTTTGTAAGAGCGTCCATTATTATTGAAGATAGAAGCAATTCTGATGATCGGTCCATCCATCAGCGATATGACTTGTTCAGAGCTGCATGCCGTGATGACAGCAGGGTTCGCCACTATTGCTGGGAATGTAATGGGAGTTTATATCAGTTTTGGTGTATGTATCACTGTGGAACAGATAATATTTCCGTATTCATTTTTCCTTTATTTATTTTCATTGATACCACTGAATTAAAACGCGTATTCATATTATAAACATCCGTTAACTCAAACATGAATAATGATACGTAATTATTGACTTCAATAAAAAAGAACAAGTAGTAGATGAAATAACCTGTACTATTCGACTTCTTTTCCAACAGATTCCAGCTAACCATCTGATAGCCGCATCTATCATGTCGGCTCCAGCCGCCCTAGCCGTCTCCAAACTTACCTACCCCGAGATAGAGGTGCACAAATCCAGCAGTGGGGACCTTATCAAGATGGAGAAATCGTGAGTTTTAGCAGTTAGCGATAGTTCTTAGAACATACAATGCCGTGATGTATGCCACCAGCATTCAGGAACACATACTACAATGACAGCATGTCAGTTATTGGTATGAGATTTTTTGATGACGTATGAACACTATTGCAACATATCATTGAAGAACATATAGTTTTGTGGTTTTTGCAACATTGATTTCACAAGAGCAAGCGCAAACATGTGAGATTAGAATAACTGGTGGTCATAGAAAAATGTTAAGAATACGTTAACCTCTGGATTCTTTATTATTCTAACGAAGAATCGGAAAATTAATTATGACTTTCACACAAAGATAAAATGTCTCCACTCTTTTAGCGGATTTGTTATATTTCTATACGAGAATGTATCAGAAAAAAAAACAAATTAAACAGGCCTGTGAAAATGTGAAAATACAGAATAGTAGTTTTCAGTTTGTATTTTAAGAGGGATAAACTTTTATCAATTTTTATTTGTTTTGATATCCCCACATGCAATAGGTACTGCTTACCAAAAGTATGTTTAGATCTTATTTTTGCATATTCACAAATTGGAAGTTTTCTCAAAAAATTCTTAATTACGTAAATTTGCAAAATGATGCTATATATTTTGACTTTAACTATTTAAATGTTTGTTATTTTTTTGTTAAGTTAGTCTTAAAATGACCTATCATTTTCACTTATCGTATATTGGAAATATCTTACAACGTATCGCTATTCTGTCGATAGGGTAGCTTTGTCCTAGAGATCATATTAAAATACCCAATAGGAAAAGATAAAATGCATATGAGATCCTTGAATAGATCATAGGAATTTTGCTTTTAGTGAAATTTATTTTACATTTTCACAAACTCACTTTTGGAGAATGCCTTAACCTGTAAATACCGTTTAACAGGAAAGAGAGAAACATCGTAGAGGCAGCAGCAGCTGGTGCCACAGCGTCCATCAAGATGGTCTCGGCCATGGCCGTTAATATCATCGCCTTTCTATCCTTACTCAGTTTCGTCAACGCAACTCTCATCTGGTGTGGAGAAAGAGCAGGAATGGAGGGCTTTTCTCTCGAGGTGAGTATATTGGGAAAATGAATACATAGCAACATTGAATCGGGGATTTACAAGAAGACTTCCTAATTGTTTGAAACGATGCTCTGGAAGGGGGTTCTAACCAATTATATCTGTGCAAAACATGACTTCTTAAGGAGGTATGGATAACCTCTTTGACCGGAACTAGGGCATAAGATTTATTGGAAATTTCAACGTAATTTCATAGACCTTTGCTTTGGATATACATTGTTACCAATTGTTGTATTTTATGACAAAAACGACGATCTATGGTAGCAATATCCCTACATCCCCAACCTATGTTGATAATATGCTGTAGTTGATTCGATATTCAAGGGTCTGTCCCAATTATCACGATTTTCGTGCATGAAGTCGTCAACTGACGGGCAAACTCGTAACACAGGATTTCAAAAAATGCAAGTTTTGGTCGTCATATTGATCACATTGTGAAAAATTCTTTTTCTTTATGTGGTATGAAGCTGGGCATGTTTGATACTCGTTAGTTTGCCTGTTGGTTCCGTAGCTGTATACCTTGTTCTCACTTGAGAGCATGACATAACTTATTTGGTTTGACATCGTTCACATATCGGGTGTCGTAGATGAAGCAGCAGACGCTTTATTACCACACATTGTACCTCACAAATATGTTACTCCAGACTTCATGGATCACTTTCCTTGCTCTTTGGGACCAAAAAAAATTAATATCTAGATTTGATTACTCATTTTTAAAACATGGTGTATGAGTGAAAATTGCAAGTTGCAAAGGACAGCAATCCTCTCTTTCTAATAGCGAAAAATAATTTAAATACTCTTTCAAAGAAAGAGCTTATGCGCGGAGGTGAAAAAGTTTACTTGACTGTTTGGAAAAGTGACTGGAAAAATGGGTTTAATTTTTGAAAAATACAAAAAACAAAAACAAGAACAAAACAAAAACAAAAACAAAAAAATCAACCGATTGTAAAAAGCAAATTTGGTTTGGTAAATACAAAGAACATGGTAATGCTAGTAGTGTGTGTTTGAAAGAAGTGATCTCACTCTGGAGGGAGTTCAGAAGAATAATACAAAAACTATTCTTCCCTAGAATTAGGAAGAGATGAATCCAAGAAGAAATTCAACTACACAGCTGCTTCGTTAGTAAAAATTTTCCTTGTGAAAACTGCTTCCATATGTATAAGAAAGGGTGCATTTGGATGTAAGATATAAATTTACAGTTTTTGCAACAAGATTGGTTTTAAGTTATTGTGTTATGACTATGGTGAAAATGTCTTTCTTCTCCTGCTTACAGCCCCGTTAAAAGTGTTTGAATTTGTCTTCTTGTTAACCGTCGTCATTTGTTTAAGAATTGATAACCGGACTGTGCTACAAAATAACTCCAGCTGACTTGTAAAGAAACTGCCTTTGGTTTAAATACCAACCTACATGCGTTACTTTCTCTAGGAAATTTATCTTAGAGGTTTGTTGCGTGATATCGACATTTTTTTGTTTGTGTTGTAGTTTATTTGTTCCTACCTGTTCTTCCCGATCGCCTTCTTTATGGGAACAGATGTTTCCGACTGCCGTAAGGTGGCAGAGCTGATTGGTATCAAAACATTTACTAACGAGTTTATCGCCTACCAGAAACTGGCCGGTATTATTAGTAATGGTAACTCTCTGGCTAACTATACCGCCTTCTACAACGACACGGCGCATTGGTACTGGGACAACGGCAACGTCATGCTCAACAACACTGGCCAGGAGTTGGTGGGAGGGATCATCTCGGTAGGTGTTTTATAAAAGACATGGGTCATCTTGGAAGGTTTTATTTATCTGGGGACAAAAGTAATCTCGGTAGGTACTGAATTACGTATTCAGGGAAAGGGGTCACTTCGACAGGTATTACATGTCCTGGGATAGGGTCATCTCGGTAGGTATAATACATCAATCCGTAATATTAGTCAACCATTTTTTACCAAACCGCACAAAATGTGCCATTCTATCGCACAGTTGTGTGCACGATACTGTTTTGTGTGTGTGCGCGCGCATGATGAATATACGATGTGAAGGATATATGTTTAAGGATATAACCAAAAGCGTTCATATTTCGGAACACCTTTTTTCCGATTGATAGCGTCCATTGAATAGATGTTCCTATAACATGCGTCAAATTGATTATTTATATGGTGAAGTTGTAATAATTGAAGTGACACACTTATCTTTTATTTACTGTGTTTAGACTTTCAATTCTATTGATAGCTTCCGTATCTTCAATCAGCTATAGATCGATTTTATTCTGTAGGACAAGTCAGAGGTTATCGCCACCTACGCCTTGTGTGGCTTTTCCAACTTTGGCTCCATCAGTATACTTCTAGGATCTATGGGCGCGTTGGCGCCAACTCGAAAAAGAGATCTCGCCCGGATGGTAGTTCGTGCCACGGTTTCAGGTGCAGTGGTATGTTTCCTCAACGCTTGTGTCGCTGGTAAGTCTAAAGATGCATACCTCACAATTATAGCATTGCTGTTTCATTATTCCTCCCGTTGAAAGACGTTTGACTTGTAACATACTTTACCATAAACATTCAAAGTTAAGTCATCTACAAGTGACTTCCGTTCTATCCTACCTTTCTCCATTAGTGCCTTCCGGCATTATGCCTTAATTTATTAGTTAGGTACGGTTTCCTGATGCCGTATAGTTCTAACATTAATCTAAAAACATCTATACATTCAACAAGCCATTTGTAAGGTACGGCTGAGCATGATCAATTAAGTATCATCTCTTTATACACTGAAGCAATAATACGTGATGATTTCAGTTACCCTATTGTAAAGTTTCCATTTCTGGATAGCAGTAACCCAACTTATGGTGCTTATAGCAAACAGGTCGCATTTGGTTCGATATCAAAGGGACTGTTCCCATTATTTGATGCTTGTTAGTTTGCCTGTTGGTTTCGTTAAATTTGGCCTTGTTCTCATTTTAAATCGCGACATTATTAGCATGAATTGTTTAACATGGCGGGTGTCGTCGATGAAGCATAAGACGTTTACTCTTTCGGAACACAAGGTATTATTCTCCAACTTCTCTTCCAGGAGTGTGCGTGTAAAGCTTTCTTTTGTTCATGTTTTGTTCTTGTTTTATTGTCTTTTTTATGATTAGTATAATAATTATGATGTACATTCTGAACAGAGATCCAACTTCTCCCTTGTGAACAACTTGATTTACATATGAAGTCCCTGATATCCTATCTGAATGGCCTTCACCTGGCGCACTCGTTGGGTGATTTTAGTTTGCCCCAATCTATCAAATTATTTTCACATTTGAAATGGGTTGTAAGCACAGTTGTATTTTCGATGTTTATTTCTCTCTGAACTAGTGATGTTTTGTTGTTATCAATGAACTTCGTTTTTTTTTTTTTGTTCCTTGAAGTGTGATCCGAACTGTCAACGTAGCATGCCTATATATAATAAATCACAATTTTTACATCAACTCATATACACACAATAGTTCATGTCTCGCTTTGAGGAATTATTACGTAGCTGTACTATCCAAACAGAACAATTGTAACAAACAACGCCACAAGTTTGTAAAAATGTAATCTCATAATTTTTTGTATCCAATATTGTAAAATGATCTATTAAGAATGAAGAAAACACGTGTTACCATTATTATGTAATTAGATATGCTAGAAAAATACCTTGAATGTTCTGAAAAGTCTTCTCGACAAAAAAAAAGACAGCGAACATGAATGTATTTAGTTTAGAACTACCGTTTGGATTCTTAATTACATATATACGGTACTTGTAAAATTGTCTTTTCTCTAAAGCTATCTTAAAAAACCATTTGTCTGGCCCCTAATATGTGTGTAGCTACTGAGATATATACCTTGTACAAATTGGTGTCTGACCTACATCAAGTCGTTAGATGTCTGGGATTTCATCAGGTACTTGGCACCTTCGTACGGCCTTTAGCAGCCATCTACGCCCTGCCTCGCCTAGTGGTCAATCGTTAGAAGCATGATGAAAAATAGACATCTATGTTATTACTGTATTATCAGCATAAAAATGTCCATTTCATAACGTAATTAATGTTGACGTACATTTCAAGATAAGATAATTAGTGAGGTGTGTTATACAACCACTCGAGTGTAACTCTCTATACACAAGTCTGAAAACTTGGGCTTCTTATTTTTAGATGTGATGGCTTAATATATGTGTTTAATATTTATCAAGGAAAGTGACGTTACCTCCAAATGACATTGATCACATCTGTATATGTAAATAACACTTTTCCAGAGTACGCCCTTGACAGCTGAAATCAGCTTTTCAGTACCTTTAAGAATATAACCCACGTCCCTTCTATAGTAACCAGTGTATTGTGTATGTGGTAATCTTGATGTTTTCAGTGATTTTCTTGGTCTAAGTCGTGTCCTCTTCACATGTATTGCAGGACTCCTCTATACAGATTACTGAACGATGACCTTGGAGAACAACGGACCCAGAACGCCTGTTCACGAAGACATGAATATAAAACGGTGTACGTTGAAACTATATGAATCATCGCAAAGAAAAAAAAATAAAAACAGCTGATATGTAGAAAAAGAGAGCGTTAAGCGTTTGCCTTCGTGACCTCAGTTGAAGGCCCGAGGTTTGTAGCTCAAGGTTGAACCCCTGGGCAAGATAACATGCGTCGGGCCTCCCGTATGTTGTTCAAACCAACAGAACAGACCTAGTTAGGACATTGATTGATAATTTGATGTCTATATTCGAAGGGAGGGCGTTTATGTTTTGATTTGGTAGATTTGTATACACCGCTATCCAGGTTATGTCAAACTTGTGTAGAAATAATTATTTTACATAGCCTGGATAACGGTGCTAACAGATCTACCAAACTCAATGTGACTTCCAAAATTAACCTCATGCATTTATTGTGTGAGATTTTATAGGATTTTCTGGGGGAAAAAAAAAGAAAAATAAATCATCTCTGTTCGTTTCGAAAATTACCATCCTTATTAGTTCTAGGTGATATTTAACGATCATGAATATGAAAATAGAATAGTACATTGTATAACCATCACGCAATTCGGAAAGACCTTTTCTACTAATAGAACTAGAGATATTGTTTGTCTACAGGATCGACATATATCTGTATGATAGTCTGGATTTAAAATATCCGTTTATTCCACATTAACCTACAGATACTGAGTATTTAACCATCCAATCTGTCTATTGTACTTACACATATATATAGTATGCTTTCTGTGTATATAATAACAAACACAAAGCTTAAAAGTAACCTTCATATCCATTCCAAATTTAATGACATAACAAATCAATAAAAAAAGTACAAAAATGATGGGATCCGAAAAAAGTCGACATTACTGATGTAAATGCTTTTATGAAAGGCTTGAAATTGGGCGATCTATGTCCACACTTTATAAAATTACGAAATTCTAACTTAGTGTGTGGGAAAAGTACACAGCATTACATATCAATTAGGTCTCCATTTTCAGAAAATGATATTTTGGAGAAGTGTGAAGTGTATTTACCTATTCAGGCCGCTTTGATTGTTCACTGCTAGGAATGGTATCGACCGCATGTCATAACACGACTTTCCATTTACGACCAATGAAGTCATTGCAGCACTGATCTGTTTACTGGACGAGATAATTAAGATATCGAGACACTGCTTTGGGCGTTGGCCTTTTATTCACACATGGTTAGCGCAATCAATTGCAATTCCAAGGTCAACAGGTCTTTATAGGTCACTGGTGACCAGTCGACCAGCTAGTGTTTTACCTCTGCCGAGGTAGCCTGACCCTATCGCTAGAATCTGGATTGTTTAGAAATAAACCTACAATACGATTGCCTTTTACATACATTACAATCATATGGTATCAAAGGGAGATTACTCAAAAGATTTCAGCACCTTCTACATGATACAAAACAAAAAGTTTCAGCAAAAACCAGCAAGATAGATACGTACAATTTAAGGGTGTTAACATACGAGTACCCTACATCTCGGGCCTCGGTCCAATCTAATTGTGTAATGATAGATATGAGTGAATGTGTATCCTTGTTGTTTAGCTAAGTACGTCCTTGAATGCAGTAATTGATGATAATCCATATCAATAAGCTCAACATCTACAATGTAACTGACTATTCATATGATATTGCGCAAATAGGCTAAGAGTTTAATCAAAATCAAATATAATCAACTTTCGTTTCCGCTCAAATTATCAGATTTTCGAAATTTACGACGTCCATTTAATTTTTGGGCTTGTGCTCCACCACATCTCGTCGCCTCCTAGACTTCAAAATGTAGGCCCTTGGCGTCACTGACGAGTCCTAGAAGGACAAAACAGCTGTATGATGCAGCATCACTGAAGAGTCCTAGAGGAACGAAACAGCTGTTTGATGCAACATCACTGACGAGTCCTAGAGGAACGAAACAGCTGTTTGATGCAACATCACTGATGCGTCCAAGAGTCCGGCTGTATGATGTAGTTTGATTTATTGTTGGACTCCACTGTAACTCTAAATTTACATTAAACGGTGTCATTTACTTGTGTGACAAACTTGCATGAAAAAGAAGCATTCGCAACAATTTACCTACCTTATATAAGCACTTACTTGAATATGTTGATATTGTATAGGACAACTCCTGATTAAACATGAACCAGTCCAGTTAGAGTCTGCAACAATAATAACTGGATTGCAAAAATGTATAATTCAGAAATGTTATTCAAAGATGTTTTAAAACAAACTTTAAATAAAGGAAAAAACAACACATACATAGTAATTACGTAGACATAAATCATGTCTTTTTCTTACTTCAAATAAAATACTTTTCATTACAGTAGTAGTTGGTTCAAAAGATTTCTTTTTTTTAACAATGGATAAAGATAGCACATTTACAGAGTAATTATGTAGACAGATAGTCTTTATTTCCTCTTTACGTTTTCTTACATCAAATAAAAAACATTACATTGTTATAGCAGGCGGTTCATTTCTAGTGCTGGTACCAGGTCAGCAATATTAATCATCATAATAACCCACTCGCTCCACGCTCAAATTCCGAATTAAGTACAAAGATATATAACGTGTTATTGAATATCTAGCTTCATCAGTATATTACCTTGTAGATAGCGAAATGGACATTTTTGGAGGGGCCTGTATGTGTTCAGAAATAATTCTATCACACAAAATATTTACAAATATCCTGTTATACTTTTTGAATACATAAATACATTTCGTATTTACATATTCAATGTATTCATATATTTATTTTAAAAAAACCCACATTTTTATAAATCATCAAAATATTAAAGGTTCTGATATAGGAGTTGCCTCCCTTGCACTGCACTATGTGTACCTTTTGTTTGTATGGTTTTGATAGGTTATTGGAACAAATATAGCATGTTAATAAAATTGCTTGACATTGAAAATTGAAATAAGCAGTATGAACCTTATCACATTATTGTCACTCATCTCTGCTTATTAATGATGTGATCTTTTTGAACATGCGTAATCAAAGTTACATGTACCTCTCTCTCACGATTTCTTCCTATTTACATGACCACAACACGACACCGAAATTACAGAAATAATTTGATCTGTTACAAAGGAGCAGATGCTTAAGTTTATAACTGTACTAAAATCTTGATTTTGATATGATCTTTAATTATAATAGTTGAAGTAAATCAATGCTTGTTAAGATATGTGTTATTATAGCTTAAAGTTAAGATGTAAATATAAATAGTTGCAGTCAATTGTTTGAATTTTGCTTTGCTTACTGTGAGAAGCACATCAATTTTAACGTCTGACACGAATCATCAAAATTCGGTGACGTTTGAATCCACAGGAAATCGCATTCTAGGTAATACCAGAAGGACATCTCTATGACAAATGATAATGGGTTGCTACATCGAAAAATAACCCCGAAAATAACCAACGTATTTTTTCGTTCTTTTTTAATATCAAATTTTACAAGAGCGTATTTATCAGTCTGTAATGGTTACAGGCTGACGGATTTCAAAAGAAAACGGTATTAAGATGTCTTTATAATGATATTAATGCTGTTCTACAGCGGACAATCGGAAACTGTGCAGGGAAGTGGAATTTAGAGGATTCTATAGAAATCATCCCTTGCTTGCCACTGTGGATTTGGTTTTGCGATGATAGATGTAAAAATAAATTCCGGAGAAAATTGGCCACCGTTTGGCAATATGATCTTGTAAATTTGCCGATGATTTCAGTTGTAAAATGTGACTGCCATCATTCAATGTAATATGTATGGATCTGCATTTTCTCTGCGTACGAAACAACTTTAGCTACACAAAAGAGAAATACACACAGGTAATGAATGTTTCAGCATATAATATGGCGTTCACTTTGAAATTATGAGGATTACAGTAACTGTGTAGTGGGAAATTTGTTCAATCAATTCATTCTGGGCCTCACATTTACTATTTATTGTGTTCAGTGAAGAATAGTTTACCTTTATAAAAGAAAATTCATGTTTTTGTTGTTTTGCATGTTACCTTTAGCAGCCCAATGTTACAGTCCAACTACTGGAACTTATTGAACTGCTAAAGGTAACTGATTGAACTGGCGCAAGTAACATCTATGATTTTTTTTCCGTTCGTACGGACATTTTGATAATGGGTATTTTTGTTTTAAAGCCGATACAAGTCCAACTTAATATGAAGCTGGTAAGCTGAATACAGTACAAAATTTGTGAGATTGGGCAGAAAGATAACATTAGATATTACAGTACATACAGCATGAATATTAGCTCTTAGTCTACACAGTCCAGGTAACATACATATATATACAACCCAGTGTCAACAAACCAACGTAGTCCCAACGTTAAGTAGTGGGGATCGGAGTCAGGTAAACAAAACAGTGGGCTTGTGAAACACGAAAAATTGTAGTACCTTTGTCAGTGATTGAGTCCTATGTACATAATCTATATGCTTGAAACAAAACGAGATTTTTCATTTCATCTTGTTTTTGTGTTTGTTCAGTTGCGTGTTTTGCCAATCAAGTAATCTTACCGGAGACGAAATGTGTCCAATTTCTCTTAGAATCAATTCCACGTAGTCCTATGTCCAGACTACACGTTTCGTGTTTGGTCAATGTTCTCTCATATATGAACGTTTTAATCTTGATCATTTAGACGTTTGTAATATCACGGTAGCGCCGAGTCTTGACATTTGGTCGGAATGCTGCAAACGATCTTGCCAAAAGTCAAGGCGATTTTACTAATGGCTTCGATACCCAGGGACCCAGAAACAAACCACGTGACCTGTCACTCTCTCAACAGCTACTGGAGGAAGTGTCTTCAGCAGACAGAAACACATTACACCAAACAGCTTTACGCAGTTGGCAAACTTGTACATGTCTATAGCGAAGTGCTAAAGATGTTACGTCTCCATAGACTGTGAACACAATCTGAAATCTAGACACAAATACCAAGTCTCCTGGCTAATATGTGGCTTACAGAATAGGCTGGTGTAGTTATATTGTACGTTTTAATTCATACATTGTAGATATGGAACCTTGTCCCTACACCTCTATCATTCTTCGCCTTTATATTTCGTCACGAAAATACCCGTCACACATCCACTTCGCGGGAACTGCTGCATGCCATTAATTCACGGTCATTACAATACATATTGTTAACATAGCTCTCTCAAATGCTCTTTGCTTGGCATTGACTCTCCAGTACTTCTGTTCTTGGTGAACTTATAGACTTTATTTCACCACAATTGCATTAAAAACCTATCAACCTATATTAATCACTCTTGTTGGCCCGAATGGAAGCGTGCGATTGGTCTTACTGTGGGAGATAACCGGATTACCCAGGGAAAACCCACGTGGTCGGACAGGTGACCACATACCTTTTCACATCCATTTCGAGCAACGAACCCCGGACATAAAGGTGAAAGGCGAGTGCGTTATCACTGCGCCAGCCGACCACCCTGAATGACGGACCATTGATGGACTTTAACACGTAAATGGAGGTTGTATAAAAGTCACAAACTAATAGAAATCGGTTCAGTCACAACCTCTACGTGTCGCTCCACACCTCAAATTAGTCAATCCAATTATAACAACAAAACATAAACACACATTTCTTTCCTTCAAGAAATGATAGTGTTTTTCATGAAATTAGGTACACCACCCTTTATACACACATACATACCTCCCTTACACACACACACACACCCTTACACAAACATATACCCTCTACCTCTTCCTCCACCTTACACAAACACATAGCCCCCCCCCTCCACCTTACGCACACACATAGCCCCTTCACACACACACTCACACATACCCCCACCTTACACACAAACATACCCCACCCCACCTTACAAACACGTACCCCTCCTTACACATACACATACTCCCTTACACACACATACAACCCCCCCCCCCCACCTTACACACATACCCCCCACCTTATACACACATACCCCCACCTTACACACAAACATATCCCACCCCCACCTTACACACACATACCCCTCCTTACACACACACATACCCCCCTTACACACACATACACCCCCTCCCACCTTACACACATACCCCCCACCTTACACACACATACCCCCACCTTACACACACACATACCCCCCTTACACATACAACCTCTACCTTACACACATACACCCCTCCTCCTTTCCTTGGTGTATTTATCTCGTATCGGCGCATGCATACCGTGTACTTATGTTGCTTTCTAGCTTGAGACTTTACTCTCCTGTATCGATCCCGATGTTGTGGTTTTTGAATATCGACAATGCTTCCTAAAACAGCTTTAACTTTGATTGTTTCTATCATTTTAGAAAAGCGCATATAAATCGAATGATTAAAATGATTTTGCTTATCGAGCAGACAGCTCCATACCGGAGCAGAACGAACTGTCAACTACCTCGTCACTGGATGGGTGTATTGCTCATAGCGTAGGCAAGTTATGTCGTCCTCCACTCTATAAAGTTTAGTGTCAGTCTCACTCTACACCATGACATTCACGTTCAACAAAGATACTATTTTGTGGAGTAACAGGCATACAATTACTGCACTCAATACAGTCATTTCAGCGTACAGGTATCAGATTTGTTTGTCATATGTTAATGTAATATGTACCAACTTCATTTATTTTAAAACAATCCCTCTTGTTGGCCCAGTGGAAGTGCCCAAGGGATAGGTCTTATCCCGGGAAATCCCGCGTGGACGGGTAAGTGATCCAAGACGCCGTGGTGAAAGGCGAGTACGTACCACTACGCCAACCGACCACCCGGTTAGATAGATAAGAACACCACGTGACGTTTTTACAACCTTAATTTATGAGACTGGATGCAAGATAATTAATTTGATTGGTCTTAATTAAGGTAGATATTTATTTCAAAAGAAACTCAACATAAAGAAGACCTATTGAATCTGGATAAAACAACAATATAATGACTATGGACAGTGGGTAAGGTTGTATTGAGTATAAAATACTGTAGTGAACACAGATCGCTTATACAGCTCCATACCTGGTGTTACTATTTTCAGAACTTTTCTCTTTTGAAACGTATCACTTATGGCGTCCAAACATCACCTGGATCGGAAAAGATAAAGATAATTATTTCCGGTGAAAATGATTTACTCTTTAAAGATAAGATGATTGAATGACACCAATGTCCTCAAATGCTTGTAAAAAACAAACCTCATCGTTTAACTACAGAGTACAATGGCTGTTGTTACGTGTCGGATAACTACTGAGTGATGAGATAAAAATGATGCACAGTAAAAAGGCTGAAGATAATGGACAGCCCGGTGGCAATGACACGAAAATTAAGAGGTAGGCGAGCGGACAGACATTTGACAGACAAGAGCGACTGTTGCTGGTTATTTTCTTGGTCAATCTTCCGGTCTGCAGACGCATGTTTCCTTGATTTGATACGTGCTTGTCGCGTGCAGTAAATCTCTCGCCCTGCGTCATCAGTTAATGCATATACATACCAGTCCATACTCGGAAAATCTTTATTGATTAAATTAGAAGTTTCCCTGTAGCGGTTGGCTTCACTGATTCAGAAAATCTGGAAAGTATTATCGGGTGGGTGGGGATGTCGTGTAGCGAAAAGGTATTTAATGTTGTAATATAGTGACTAAAACACTTCCAAACGTGTTAAATATTGTATTGTTTTGTTCTACATTCAACTTGACCTGTCTAATATGCTTTTTGTCTATCATAATAGTGCCCCCTGGTATTTGGTATCCGCGAACCCCATAAGTAAATGATTTTTATGTTATTTTCGTTTTTATTTCTGTAACTAATATTTACGAGTATTACATACCAGAATCTTTCGATAGTATGTCTTGACTTCTATGGTTTCTAATACTATCGAAAAGTCACAGGTACGGGGCGGGAATTGTCCGATTTTATTAATCCATTTCTATTTTAATGTACAAAAACGGTATTCACTATTGTGTCTTCTATCAATTTTTAAACACGTTGTGTTGTAACTCTAGTACTGCAATCAGCAACAGTTTCTTTCGGGTAACACGAGAAATATTAAACACGTGGTGTTATACGATCCTCATGCATTGCTAAGAAGCAGGGACTCAGCCACACTTTTTCATTAGAGATATACCTATCACAATGTAATATTGATCATGAGGTGATAGTCTTTAAAACGGTAAGAAACAACCCAATTGTGTTTGATACGATATCGACTCAATTAAGTCGAGCACATGTGCCGTTGTTCCTAAGTGGTTGTACATCTGTAGATTGGCAGTCTATCCCTCTGTCACAACTTCGATATCGAACTCTCCGGAATCACAAATCATGTTTGGATACGTGTACCGTATACTTGTCTTTTGTATAGGGAGAATAAGCTATGAGGAAATTATGCAATAATTTGAAATGGCCTATTTTCAAGTTGATCACATATGCATATAGAATCCACGTCCCGACAGAACTCTACCCTATAATACAGTCAGAGGAGCTCCGACCGGCAGAAATTTGAATTATTATAGTACAGTATCTGAAACGTTCGTCTAGGCGACAAAACGGTTGTTAAAAGTTTACTCGAACTTCCATTTTAATTTAAAATGTACTTTAGGTTTGACAGTGTGTGTTTATAAGTAAGGTCGGTCTCCCTGTCTCTATATCGGAGAACTTG